TCACATTGGTTAAAAAAACCTTTTTGAATAAAAATTTTAAAGTCATTTAAGCTGATTACAAAGTGGTGAATGATACTGGTCTCAGAAGTAAAACTGTATTATACAAGCAAACACACAACAAAACTGAATTCAGGCAAAACTTAATTAAACTTTAATAATAAAAAAAAAACACTATATCGTCTTGAAAATTGCAAGCAAACCTTTTAAACATTTACAGTATTTTTACTGAATTCATATACAGTGCTCAGTATAATTGAGAACACTTCATTTTGAAGATGAATATTTTGTATCCATTTCTCAGTGAATATAGGCAATGCATTTTGGTGCATTTAAACAAAACAGATATATTTATTAAAATAATATTTTAGTCACCAAACATATTTAGAAATTTAAAGATAACACAATTAAAGCAAAATATTGCAAAAAAAATACTATCTAAAAATTGTATAATTTTTTTTCTCTCTTGATTTTTTCTATATTTAAATTCTTATTTTTCCATAACATTAAAATTTGGGTGTACTAGTTTTTGGACCATCATCGTAAGTTATTTTGTTAGATAAGCTCCAGATTTGACTTCAGTACTGACTAATCTAATGTATATGCACAAATATAATATTGTATAGCTTCCTGTTAAAAATATGAATTTAAAAGATAGATTTGTGAGGAGTGTACTTCTATATGCTGAGCACTGTAGGTAGGCCTATTTAGATTCAGATTGTAAAAGTACATTTCAACCTGTGATATATCCCTTTGGAAATTACGAGAAAAGGTCTCTCTCTGATAAAACATTTTTACATGTACTTGTTATTATAAGTAAAGTCCCCACATTAATAAAAACAATTTTACATATTTAAACCACTCAAATTAATGACAGGTATACTGTTCTTAAAAATGCAGTTTAAATGGAAATTAAAAAATTACATTTGAGATTTACACTGAAACTTTTTTTAATTCCCCATTTACAATTAGGTTAATGTGCTTCAAAGTATTTTTAAAATGAAAAGTGCAGTCTTAAATATCTTAGATTTATTTTTTAAACATATAAATATGTGAGTCTGGACCACAAATTGGTCTTATATTCCAGGGATATATTTAGCAATAGTGAAATATATATTTTATGGGTCAAAATAATAATATATTATATTGTTTAAATAATAAAATATAATGTTTTTTCTGACATGAATTTATCTATATTGTTTTGCAACCTCAGATTTTCAAAAAGATGCATCTCGGCCAATTTTTGTAATAACCTAGCACAAACCATACATCAATGGAAAGCTTATTTATTCATATTTCATAAGATGTATAAATCTCAATTTCAAAAAAGTGACACTTGCGGCTGGTTTTGTGGTCTATAGTCACATAGGCTATCAAAACAACCATAGCTTGCCAACCAAAAAAACGAAGCTCAAAGTCTCATTTAACAAAACGACATCCGATCAATTTAATCCACTGACTACTCGGAATATAAAATAAATGCGTGCGTTCGATCTAAAATCAGCTTCAAAACCGCCTGCTTGAACAAAACGCAACGCGTTACTCACCAACTGCAGCAAGTCTTCATGTGAGCCATCAAGATGAAAGCGTAATAATAAACCTCCAAATGCATGAACATCCTGAGAGAGGGAGACTTTTCTTCACCTTGGAAAGCAGAGGCGTCTGCGAGAGCTCTATATAACCTACATCCAGGATTCAGAGGCTGGGGGTCTCATGTGTGAGCCAAGGGGGTTCTGAAATGGAGCTCCTCTCATCCCAACAAGAGATTATCTGCTTAATTAAAGATTTTCCCTTTTCTTACTCGTTCAGCCAATCAGAACTATTGTACCAGAGAGAGATTGAAATGATCAAAAGGGCACCCTGGGCTCCTCCAGGACAAATAGCTGGGAAGAGCTCCCTGCGCGCTAACAGTTGGAGTGAATTAATATGAAATCGGGATGGCATCTCTAAGGTTGTGCCTTAAAACTCAATTTCAAGAGCAGCATGAAAGGCTCTGATACAGTAGCTGATAACGCTCATAGGGATTAGGGACATTATCTGCTGGATCAAACGATAAATGTTATTTGTAGGGTTCTTATTAATGTATCGGCTTTAAATTCGACTCGTGGGTAAATTGAGTAAAAACGAGAATGCAAAAAATAAAGGTAATAAATGCAAATTAATTTTAGAACACCCGAACGAGTGGTTTGATGATTTGTTGCACCTCAAAACTTCACCGAAAGAATCCAAAGAGATTCAAATAAACAGCGGGAATTAACATAGATAAGGGGGATAATCGATTGGATTGTGTGTTTGTGGTTTTCAGGAGGACTTCATAAACTCTATTTAGAGTGTTATTTTACCTTTTCTTCCAGTTTATCCGCTGCTGACCCTTCGTGACCTCTGGGTTCTGCTTCTTTGACGTCCGAGTATCTTCTCGTGTGCAAATTAGGATTAGGCGAGTTATTTGGCAGATTCCTGAGGGATGTTTTTGGATTACGTTTTGAAAGGCTTCCATGAGAGTGAAGTAAAATGAGTTTGCCACTATAAAGAGAAAATTGATTTCTAAATCCTCTGGTCTTTTTGAATGTGATTATACTGTTTTATGAATTGAGTAGGCAAGAAAAATTCCCCCTAAACGTAAACACAACACGATAATCTTGATTTTAAAATGGCGCTGGATGTTTTATTTATACATTTATTTGGCCTATAGTTTTAGCCTAGCATGTGTTTCAAAAGGGTTGTTTTCACAACACTCGACTTAGCCTATGTAAAACTAACAAAACCTATGTTGCAGTTAATTCTATTTACGTTTTATAGATTTAATTATTTATTATTATTATTATTTTTTTTTTTGCAACTTCATAGAAAATTACAAATAAGAAAGTAGGCTAAAACATTTTAAGTTTTCAAAAGGTTTATGCATTGCTAAACAGAAAAACACAAACTAATTACATATTTGTTGTTTTATTAGTCAGTTTTAAAAACAATTGCCTAACATAACATTTACCATATTATAGTAAAAGTTTAAGCTTTAAATCCTTGGTTTGACAAAATGGTTCCATTTCAGTAACTAGCCTATAGCTTGGGCCAGACAGAATCTGCGGACATTTTTAGCCATTTCTGCACAGAATTTTGTAAAAAAAAAAAAAAAAAAAAAAAAAAAAAAGTGGATTTCAGTGGAATGATTAGTATCGTAACTAAAAACTTAATATATGAAATAAAAATAATCCTTTGAATAACTTTTATTTAATGTTTACAATGCAAATCCAATTAGATCCACTTATTTGGTAATAAAGCAAGTATCTAATATATCTACCAAAAGACAGAAAATATTACTTTACAAACTGTATTGTAAATAAATCATATGAACATTTCATATTTGTTAATAATATAACTGAAATACATTTTAAAATTGAATAAATATAAGGTTACACACATTTACACAAGTAACAAAATAAACTCAATGAAAGCCTAAAAATCAGCAAATTTCTGCATGCGCAGATTCCGTGAGGGTCTACCTGTAGCCCATGTACAACACGACTAAAGAAAACGTGCAGACTTCATTTTCAGATATACACACATTTTATTCAGTTAAGAAAAGATTAATAATGATTCTTAACAAAACTCACGGAACAACTCTTAAAACTCTCCCGATTATAGAAATTTTGGTTTATGGTACATGAAACAACATTCCTTGTAAATGTGCCCATTAAGGCTCCCAGACATCACAGGTCAACAATGTATAAACAATTTAGCAGTAAAATATAGTCAATTTGTTTGTCCTTCTTAAACATGGGAGTATGTTTGAAATATATAAAGCATTTGGTGAGAATATTAGTGTTTTACATTTGGAGAAATGCATACCACTATCAAGCTATCAAACATTTATGACAAGAAATATGTGTAGCTACATGTGGTCATTCATTCGTCACAGAAGAGCCAAGAAAAGAGCCCACTCCAAACGGTACGTCTGATTAAAAACTTCACAAGTTCGAAATAAATGTTTCTGATGCTTAAACGTCATCTTTGTAATTTTAATTTTGAGTCAAACCCCAAAATCAGAAGATAAATAGGCCTATTTTATAAGGCAAAGGGCAAGATATCATAAGACATTTCAATTTCCAATCCTTGGATTACATAATAAGGACAAATAAATGTCCTAACACATTTACCCCAAGGGATACTTTCTTTCAAAATATTTTCTGGATAAATATTTTTCATAATACTTGAAATTTGCCAGATCTTTTACAGGACAACACAAATTCATGGGAGCCAGATAAAGAGCTATGCAATATGAAAAAGTATAGTTACGCAATAATTCATCAACTATTTTTACTTAAGGAGTTTCTAATTATAAGCATCAATGATCTGAACATCATTGCACTGGCATGTAGAATCAATTAAAAAATAATAAATAACAAAAAATAAATAAATATAAATAATTCAAAATAAGAATTAACATTTTATAATGCCAGAATATGTATTTTTATGCTCAATATTAATAAACCTATTTTAAAAAGCACTTACTGCAAGTGAGTCCATCTTTTAAAAACATTATACATGGACATTTCTGTGTGTTTGTCTACATATACTGATCAGTCAATAACTTTTATTTCAGCCAGCTTAAAGACAATTATGCCAGTATATAAATAGCACGTCATCCTAATTTAGCCCACCGAATCCTACTTCTAAAACCAGAACAAAAACCTATTTGGCCAGAAAAATCATGGGTCAACCTATTCATGAGAGAGGGCTGTAATGAGGCACATGGCTGTTTAAATAGTGAAGTACCATCTCTCGCCTCTTGAGGCAGACTGAGACTAAATTATCCTCCCAATCTGTGGCCTTCAGCATAATCTAATCAGTCCAATACAAGTCATGAAAAGGAAAGAACACATATTAGTCCAACACACTCTAAGAGATTCTTATTTCGTATGAGTGTATATACTTCAAATCTTCATTGCACACTAAGAATTGCTGCAAATGCTTTTTGTATGTGTTGGCTTATATCTTTTTTGTTATTTTTTTTTTGTTAACACTTTACAATAAGTTTTCATTACTTAATGTTAGTTAATGTATTTACTAACATGAACAAACCATTAACAACACATTTACAGTCACCAGTCATTTTATTAGGTACACCTTACTAGTACCCAGTGTGGTCTTCTGCTGCTGTAGCCCATCCGCCTCAAAGTTGGACATGTTGTGCGTTTAGAGATGCTATTCCTCGTACTTTAATTGTAACTTGTAGTTATTTGAGTTGATGTTGCTTTTCTATCAGCTTAAATAAGTCTGGAAATTCTCCTCGGACATCAACAAGGCATTTTCGCACACAGAACTGCCGCTCACTGGATATTTTCTCTTTTTCGGACTATTCTCTGTAAACCCTAGAGATGGTTGTGCATGAAAATCCCAGTAGATTAGCAGTTTACGAAATACTCTTACCAGCCCATCTGGCAACAACAACCATGCTATTTTCAAATACACTTAAATCACCTTTCTTCCCCATTCTGATGCTCGGTTTGAACTGCAGCAGATTGTTTTGACCATGTCTACACGCCTAAATGCATTGAGTTGCTACCATGTGATTGGCGAATTAGAAATTTGCGTTAACGAGCAGTTGGACAGGTGTACCTAATAAAGTGGCCAGTGAGTGTATTACAGATTTGTTAATGGTAGTTGTAGAAAATAAAGTTGTTCTTTGTTAGTTCTTCTCAACTCACTGTGCATTAACTTAAGCACAACTTTGGATTTTAAAATTGCACTAGTATGAATACATTGACTAACATTCATTAATGGAACCTTATTGTAAAATGTGACTGTTGCTTTGATATGCACTGAACAGATCAACCACTTTTGTGGCTGCCGTCACCTGTGCGCTGAACACGGGCGAGGATGGTTTCGTGAGTTACCCTTCTGCAATCGTTGGCCAGTCCCAGGAAGCACATGAGATCGATGAACGCTTTGGTCACGTTCAGCCGACTGCCGAACTCACTTGTGGCATAATCATGGGGGAATGTGTGATGATAGTTGTGGAATCCTTCACCTGAAAATCAAATCATTGTCCATATCAATCAAATGTTTATTTCAAATAGACGCTGTTCTTTTGTATTCTACATTTATCAGTAACCCTGTAAAAAAAAACACAAAGCTTAAAGATCCCCTGAAATTAAAATAAAGTTTTTTAGATCTTACAATCACTGTTTGCTTTAAGGATGTCTATAAGCTAGCATGCTCCAGAACAGTGAGAAAATTCATGTTTAGAAGATATAAAACAGATATAAACATGTAAAGCTTGAAGTTTGTCACTTACGCCTAAACGGATCCGCAATTCTTTTTTCACCTCACCTCATACTTCAGTTTCTCATAAATTCTTGACCAATCAAATGCTTTGTAGTATCTGACATGTCCTGCCCCCTTCAAGACGTTTCTCATTTACTTTTCATTTGACGTGCTTGAGCTCAACCACTCTCACTAGCAGAGCAGTGATAAAACAAAATGCTATTGGCTATTTTTTTATAAAGGGGAGGAGCTACTCTATGCCCCACCCTCTCTTCATTTTGTCAGTTGAGATTAGGTCAAAAATCGAATAAAATTGTACATTTTAAGGGGCTTCACAGGACCTTTAAAAACAGGCAAAATGTAAAGTAGTGATGGCTGCTTCAGAAACAATGCTTCATAAAGCTTTACAAATTTTTTGTTTGGAATCATTAGCTTGGAGCATGAATCAAATTTACAAGGTCATGTGATTTCAGAAAATGAGCATTTGTTATGTCATCACTGTTTGGTAATGTTTCAAAGATTCTATGGTTCTCCGCTTGTGGGCTATTTGTGTAATACAATAAAATCCACGTGAATTATGTTGCTTTATTCAGATTGCCCCCCAATGGGCAAATGGCAAAACAGGTTTCACCTGATCGAGTTTGTAGACATTTCTATGAGATATTTGTGAAATGAAAAGGAATAATAGTTAAAGTTGACCTATTTTACAAAAATCACTTTTATAAGGGATTTAAACACAGTTTTGAGGCAACAGTGTGTGAATATAACCAGCCTCTATTGGTAAAAACATATTAATTTTATTTTTCATAATAACACTTTATAAAAAAGCAGTCTGCAAAAACACTTTGACATTTTCTCATTGTACATGTCATGAGAGGCAGAAAGCCCCACCCATTAGTGACATCTCTCCCTCATTAGCATAGGAAGTTAGTCTTGTTTTTGAATCTGCCACTATGCTAACACATATGCACTCCATCCTCCTTTCAAAAGAGCACAATCTCATTTAAACTTAAAGTGAGATTCACCAAATTAGCACAATTAGGATTATAGCCTAAAAGGGGAATCTTCAAAATGTTACAAAACATTATTTGTGAGGTGTTATGACCTGAAACTTCACATACACTGTCTAGGAACACCAGAAACCTATTTTCATCTTGTAAAAAGGGGTATAATAGGTCCGCTTTAATAGTCTCTTGTTTAGCAGAGCCCAACATGGAATACACACTATATAAACCTTAAAAGTGTAAAAAAAAAAAAAAAAAAGACTGCATATTATGTAAACACATAATAATTAATGATATTAAATGATAAAGTAAGCACATTTCTAGATTATACTTACAGTTCAATGTTCACAGTGAGTTTGAAAAGTCAATTCTGATGCATAGTTTGCCTGTATTTGTTGCATTTACTTGATTTTGACCACTAGGTGTCCCTAGCAGGTGCTGTACCAGTGTGTATATAGCAGAATAACCATTTCAAAATATTACTTGAATAAATTAAAAGTAACTTCAAACAAGCATATAGTTAATCTGAGGGATCATGTGACATTGTGATATTGTAAAGACTGTGGTAATGGCTGTTAAAATTCGACTCACTTTGCTATGGACAAATACATGATAACATTTTAAAATATACTATTAAAGATAGAAAATAAATATTTTACACTGTACAATTTTTCACAGTATTACATTTGAACTGAGACTTTAATTAATTCCATTTTAATTTTGCAATATCTTGTACTTTAGGTGATAATTCTTAAACACTTGTTACTAGTGACACTGATTGCCATTAGCAAACTTGACAACAGACAACCTAGGACATGAAGGAATGTCTCATTTCGAGTTTTGTTACAAGCATTAACAATAAAAAAACAATTACTGCACTCTAAATATTGATTGGATGTATAAACCCAAATTTCGAATGAAACAAAGCTGCATTTTTAAAAATATAAATGAAAGCAGACGGTTTTACAGATTTAATATTATTTCCTTTACATTATATTACTAATATATATAAAATAAATAAACAAGAACAATACAAGAACGCAAAAAGCACTTACACGCAAAAAAAAATATATATCTTCACTGCTTGTTCAAAAAACAACACTATTCTAGAGACTTTTTTGGGACAACCTAATTGTTTTATGTTCAATCCACAAGTTTGTTAACTTAATAAATTTGCGTTGGGACACCATGAATGACCATGAATGACCTATGTGGAACACTGCATTGTTTACAGTGTATGCTATATAGTCTAATAAATGTAAAAAAAAAAAAAAAAATTATATATATATATATATTATATAAAGATATATATATATATCTTTACAGTATGACAAACCTAAAAAATATTAAAATATGTACCATTGTATCATAAAATCCGTATGTAAAAGAATGTGATACGCCAATTTCAACTTCTTCAATCACAAACAATGAAAAACTAGGTTTAGTTGTGATATTCTCTGAATAATGCAGATCCACATATGTTCAGTATTGGGGAGTATCTTGCTGCATTTTTCAGTAGCTTGACAGTAGCTTAGCAACTAATGATACAATGTAGCTTTTCCAGTAGCTACTTTTTAAAGCAAGTAGCAGAGCAGCTTCACAACAGTTACATTCCATTTAGCAAATCATCTCACAGGATTATATACTACAAAAGTGCAATACAGTCATCTATTGGTGTATCACACATCTCATTCTTCTACCTGTATTTATTACTGTTATTTTGTAAATAATATTTTTCAAGTAACATCCGTTGAAATTCAAAACATAAAGTATTCTAACAGCTGCCAATTATCCTGAAGAACATTGTACAAGAGCTTCAATACAATTTCTTACAAAAAGGAAGCAAATTATTTGTCCCATTGTTTTGAGAAAATGCTATCACATGCTAAATTAATTCATCATTTTGTTATTGCAATGGTGCATTTGATGCAGTTTTGTAATTTGACTCTTGCCGATCAAAACTTTAAAACTTTTGTGTGTTAAAACATTAAGCTTTGACATTTTAATTGTATTTGTTTTAAGTACCAAATATTTTACTTAAAATGAATGCTTATTAAGTTACAACATCAGAGTAGCTTCCCCAACATTGTGCATATGTACAACTGGCTAATGATCCAGCTTTAAAAGAGTGTTTAATATAGTTAGTCCCGGTGAAAATGGCACACTTGGCATTGCTCGAGGATTACCCGAGGACACATCTGCAAACAGCAGAATGTTTGATAAGAATCAAGAAAGACTAATAGAAAGCTTTTTGAGAAAGCCTTTTATGGAGTTTTGAGTTATGTTTTATGCAAAAGACTTGCCTTGTGCATTAGGCCCCGTAAGTTTCTGATGATAACCTTGGATAAAATTATCATGGTATTGTGATTACTGCTATAAAATATGTTCTTTTTAAATGTCTGTACAAAAAAACAAAAAAACTTTCTCCTTTGAACAATTTATTTTATTTCAGGAAACATTTTTTTATATTTTAGAACAATAAACATGTCAGGCTAAATAACTTTAAAAAAATCATTGACTTCTGCTGTAGTAATTAGTTTCAAAAACACAGATTTCTTTACAATATGTAAAAAAAACAAAAAAAAAAACATTTCATATACCTTAGAAATAGTATAAATTTTTTTTAGCAGTTTTAAAACCTTGACTTTTCCAAACCATGGTAAACCTAGAAACTGGTTATCATCTCATGCTTATTGTGCACACGGCTGCTTATTGCTTGTTCAGAATACTCCAAACTCACTAACATCAGAACAAGGTTAAGAATAAATTTATAAGTAGCTTTTGTGAATAATTGAATAGTTTTTGCATAAAAACAAAACTATTAACCCAGGCTCATTGAAGATATGTGCCAGGCTACATTTTTGAGAACCAAGATATACAGTTAAAGTCAGATTTATTAGCCTTCCAGTGGATTTTTTATTATTATTATTTGCCAAAATTTTGAACACAGCAAGAAATTGTTCACAGTAATTCCAAAAATGTTTTGTCTTCTGGCGAAAATCTTATTTGTTTTATTTTGGCTAGAATAAAAGCAGTTTTCAAGGTTAATATTATTAACACCTCAAGCAATATTTTTAAGCTAATAATTCTGATTTTAAAGAGCCCATTTTATGGGTTTTTGAAAATTCCCCTCCATGTAGTGTGTAACACAGCTCTAAGTGAAGTGAAGTATTCAGCTAAGGCTTAAATCTGTAAGAATACAGTGTTTAAAACGGTTGATTCATCTATAAAAGAGTCGACTCATAGTGCTTCAAACGAGTCGCCTTGATACCGAGTCATTAGGTGTTTCGCCATGACGTACAAACGAAACCAAGTTATTCACGTGCACGCGCAAACCCGGGAGATTTCAAACCTGAGGCCCCGCTCTCTGACGCAGAAACCCAGACACACACACAAACACACGCACACAAACATGCCGGTCGATTGAAGTCACACTGCAGATGGATATTATATCGAGTCTCTACCCAAAGATGAAACATCAGCATTATAGCCAAGCAGTTGGAAGCTACTGGAAACTTCTGGAAACTGCATGCTACAAAGAATACTTCATCTGAGTTTGTTAAAGGAAGGATCAGTAAAGAGTAACTTACTGATGGACGTCAGGATGGGTTTCTTCCTACCTTTCTCAAGTGTAAGTACGTGCGGTTAAAGTTGTTGCCTCGTTGACTCTAGCTTGCAAATGTATTTAGTTGTGATTTGTTACTTGTAACCGAGTGTACTGTATCAGGTTAACTGGCTATATTCTCTTATCGCGTGCAAAGTCACGTTAAAAACGCGACGCGTGCTGCTTTGTTGACGGAGCTCCGAGGTAGAGTTGTGCATTCCCGCGGCTGTCCCCGCACCAGATTTCTGCGGCGCGGGAATAAATTTCCGAATAAATCGCGGGAGCGGTCGGTAAGGGTTTAATTTGGGACGGGAGCGGGCTGTCTAGCAATATCACGGATATTGCTATGCGAATGAGAAAGAGTGAGTGTGCTTGTGTGTGTTAGTGCGCACGCGCGCGTATGAGAGAGAGAGAGAGAGAGAGAGAGAGAGAGAGAGAGAGAGAGAGAGAGAGAGAGAGAGAGAGAGAGAGAGAGAGAGAGAGAGAGAGAGCGAGCGAGAGCGAGAGAGAGCGAGAGAGAGAGATAGAGAGAGAGAGAGAGCGAGCGAGAGCGAGCGAGAGCGAGCTTTGTGTGCTTGGTGCTGTGTGTGTGTTTATACAGACATCTTGGCTGTCTGGACTGTATAGCTGGGTGACTTTTGGTTGTGTTCTCCCCCGCTCTAGCGAGATCGGGCGCGGCTGGCAGAAAACGGAGCGGGTTCTCAGGCTAAAACCTGGCGGGTGCGGGCGGAAGCGGGAGCGTTGTCGTCCGGAGGTGTGTGTGTGTTTTTGTGTGTGTGTGGCAGCTAAAATCCACGCCTACACTATCGAGCGTGTATGAACTGTGATTACTTTTATATTGCTGATTAGCTGTTGGCCATTTCACTCTCTGACTGAAGGCAGTCGACCAATCGCAACAGACTGTCATTGGTCCAATCAGCGCAGATTAGCTTCGCGCTAAGGAGGAGTTTGGGAACAAATGAATCACTGGACGATTCATATGGGAGTCGCTGGAATAATTAGGTAAAAATAAATGCAGATTATAAGACCATGAAAGTGTTTTTTGACCTTGCATGCATATGAGACTGTTGTTGGAGACCCTTACAACCAAGATATGACCCTATTTCATGTATAATATTAGCTCTTTAACTGTATGTACCCTGAGCTATGTGTGATTCCTCAAGAGGGCGCTATGTACATTTTTGACAATATCAACTATGTTACTGGGGCACGTTTTCTTATACGTGTCATTTCTTGTAAATCCACCAGAGCCATCTGCATACATTTTTGCCAATCTCAACATACATGAGAGTAGCTAGTCTGTTTGTTGTAATAAACCAGCTTGATATCAACTGACCCACCCACCCCCTTCCCTAAGCCCAACTGATAGACTTTTCAAAGGCAATTTAGATTAGAAAAGCTGTTGATAACACATCGATCACAATTTCTCACTGCTTTTATGGGATTTGTTTCTGGAACCGTCCTTTATCGTGAAGGGCCAGCCAGTGACCTCTTCCAACTGCAGCTTATCCACGATGGACGTCCAGCGTTCTCCAGTCCCCAGCACCTAGACTGCAGCTCTGTACAAGAATTTTGGCCAGAGGAGAAATGCTCTTGACCAACTGAGCCTGGTTTCTCTCAAGGTTTTTTCTTCCACTTTCGTCAATTGGTGAAGTTTGTTCCTTACTGCTGTCGCCACTGACTTAAATGGTTTGGGACTTGTGGAGCTGCGCATCAATGGATTTGCTCTTCAGCGTTTGAACTTTCAGCAGTGAAATTTAAACCACACTGAACTGAACTAAACTCTGAAAACTGGACTGACACAGTTTCAATTTACTAAAACTTCTTTGTTAAGCTGCTTTGACACAATCTACATTGTAAAAGTGCTATAGAAATATAAATAAATTATATTAAATTTATCAGACTCTAACCATGGTCCACTCTGCTCTGCTTTCTAAGACTGATCCCGTTAAACTACCAAGCAATCCAGTGACAACACAAAAGCAGTAATAAGCAGTCAGCGGTAGTGTTGTTTTACACACAAAATGCAGACATATGTACTAGAGGTGTGAACCTATACTGGTCTCACGGTTCGGTTCTGTTACGATTATCATGCCATCGATTCGGTTCAATTCGATATCTCGGTGCATCACGGTGCATTGACGATGCTTTCCATATATAGTGTTATATTTTAGGGGGGAGGCTATAACAAGCTGTCTGTATAAACACACAGACACACAGCAACACACTGTCTCTCATTTAAACACATTCACAAACATAGACAGCATCAAACAAACAAACACACACGCACACACAAACAAACACACTTAAGCCCTTGCAACAGGGAGAGCTCGCGCTGAGCGGAGCAGAAAAACGAAAAAAATAAGCACTTTTCCGACGGTCCCTTACAGAGAGCTCCTCTTAGCGCGAGCTCTGCAGGCTAAAGTAAACGCAGACTGCGAGGGCTTAAACGGAGCAGTGCTCGTAATGTCGAGCAAAAAAAAGAAAGACAGCTGTGAAACATAACCAGCTTTGTCTTTCTGTAGGAAACACACTTTAGATCTTTTTAGGGTAAGCGTTTTTTGAGTTATTGCCGTCTATAACTGAAAGTGTGTCAGGAAAATTGAAAACAAAACCAACTGAAGCGCGCTCATTTCTGGCGCCCCACTGGATATACAGCGCCCTAAGCTATTGCCTATGGTGCCTATGCCACAGGCCGGCCCTGAGTTGGCTGAGTGTTGTAAATAACGGTGCTCACCTCCCTCGCGACAGAGCGCATAGGAGATAAATGACGTCACTACATAATAACCGGTTATGGTTATTACAGAATCGATACCGAATTGTCCGCGTCTGCATCGCGGTGCACCGAAGAAACAATTAATTTTGACACCCCTAATATGTACCCATGAACACATATTTCTTGGTTCTCTAAATGTAGCCCCAGGCACATACTCCCAATAAGCCTGTGTTGGAAAAACTCCATGCAGTTATTAGTGAATGAGAGTGATTATTCTTACCGATGGCACTGAAGGCGACAAACTTGTTCTCTCTGGGATTGATGTTGTGGTCGTAGGGTCTCATTCCCCACATGTGAGCGGCGCTGTTGACCAGCCAGGTTGCATTAAGGACCACAGCGTATCTCAGCAGACATGGCACCAAGTAAGCAGTCCAAAGACTCTCCTCCCAAAAAAACCAAGGTACCAAGGTTGGGATAAGAAAGCACATCACCACCACAGATAACTTGTAATGCCTGGAGACATGAGAAATGAAAAGAATTCAAAACAAACATTCCAATAGGAATTGAATCTTGATTATCATGTGTTGTTTAATGGCACAGTATGTTACAGATATGAATTAACATGAACTGGAGCACAACAAGCAGTTGAAATGCTGATTAACCTGCTAGTTTTGCTTTATCTGTGCTGGACAATCAAGTAAACATGTTTTAAACAATTACCAAAACACTATTGATCAATGTCAAAGGAAGGGTGTTCTTGATTTTAATCATTCTGCTAATGCCAAACATGGCCTAATGTTAGAGTCTGAGATATGTAATGAATATTTTGACCAAAAAAACTTTGATAAATGTTTGTCCTGTCTTTTACATTTGCAGATTTGTTTTTTCAGCACATACTATTTAAATTATTCAAACATTCTGCATCCAGTTTGAATAATCAACAAAGCGATCATAATTTATTCATTTCTCTCGGTTGGTCTGTATTTTTCCACAAGTTAACTTGTGTATTTTGTTGTTGTGTTGTTGATGGATTTGGATTTCTGCCTTCCAATCTGTCCCAGCACGAATCAACATTTATCCTTTTTCTCATTACTTTATTAATGTGATTATTTGAATAATTAATAAAGTTAACACATTTCTTATTAAAAGAATGTTCCGTGCATTGGCCTGTCTCTTTGTAACTCTATTTTCAGGAGCCACCGAATTAGGTCAGAGGTCATGGAGACCTCGAGTGGAAATGAAGGGCTTGATTATTGAAAACAACTGTACAACTGTTTTCCTATTTGTAATAATATGTGTTAATACTGTCTAAAGTAATTTTGAGATTATTATGATGTGTTAATTCTGCTTAAAGGGATTTTACTTTTTATTTAAGATAGACTTGGTTCATAAGGATATTAATTGCCTGAATGTAAATTATACCAGTTTTTAACCAGTTCTGATAAAGACAGCTGAGAGTACACTCTCAGCCTTGGGTAAGAAACAGATTGGACTTTAAGTGAGTGTTCTATTTGATTGTAGATCCTTTTCACTGGTCTGGGGTCAGCACTAAACAGTCTAGTGCAGTGGTGTCCAAACTCTGTCCTAGAGGGCGGGTGTCATGCATATTTAGGTTCCAACCCCATTTAAATACACCCAAACCAACTCATGCTCTTTCTAGTTGTTCTAGAAACTTTCAGGCAGATGTGTTGAAGGAAGTTGGAGCTAAACCATGCAGGACACCAGCCCTCCAGGACCGAGTTTGGACATACCTGATCTAGTAAGTGCTTGTTTAGCTGGTTCAGGTGTGTTTGATTGGGTTGGAGCTAAACTCTCCAGGACACCGGCCCTTCAGGACCGAGTTTGGACACCCCTGGTCAAGTGGATGTCTGACGTTTATTTATGCTTGAGATATTGTTCAGAATTGTGTGTACGCACCCACATGGAAATTTTCCAAGCCTATCTGTGTCTTAACCAATCAGGTTAAAACACATATATGTATGACACAGTTAATGACGTTATGTGAGAGTATAATTGATGTTGATATGTGATTGTAAGCAGAGCGGCCTAGGAACTTGTTGAAGCTGGCTTCTGCTGATGAATCTGCAAACAGTATACAGTAAACTATTTATTTATTTGATTCTCTGACTCCGGCTCTTCTTTATCTGACAGACTGGTCATTTTTTGGGTTAAAACTGTAAATAATCAATACATAGTAATTTCTTGTAGTAACAAAAATAATGTGAATCGCCAACTACATTGATTTTAAATTATCCAAATTAAATAGTAAACATAACATTTAATATAAAGCAAAACTGACATAAATGCTGCTATGAATAGACTTTTTTTCAGTACAAGTAGTGTTCTGTGTCAAACGTTTTTGGTCTATAAAATGAACGCTCTGAGCAAAGCTGCATTTATTTGATCAAAAACAACAATAAAAAAACTACTTTAAACAGCTGTTTTTCATTGTAATATATAGTACATTTAATTGATTGCAATTCAGTCAAAAGCTCAATTTTCATCACAGTTACTTCAGTTTTTAGTGTCAGATGTTCCTACAAAAATTTTGCTGATATGTTTATTTGTAGCTTAATAAATATTTCTGATTATGGTTAATTTGAAAAATCTTAGCCCGTTTTAAATATATTTGCCTGCAATATTTTTCTGGACTATTCTAGACTATTCATTCATTTTCCTTCAGATTAGTCCATTATTTATCAGGGGTCACCACAGCAGAATGAAAAGCATTTGTTTTATGCAGGGGATGCCCTTCCAGCAGCAACCTTGTACTGGGAAACACGCACACTGTCACATTCACACACACACTCATAAACTACAGCTAATTTAGTACATCCAGTTCACTCATAGCTCGTGTCCTTGGACTGTAGGGGAAACCAGAGCACCCGGAGGAAACCCACGCAAACACCGGGAGAACATGCAAACTTCACACAGAAATGCCAACTGACCCAGCTGGGACTCAAACCAGCGACGTTCTTGCTGTGAGCCAACAGTGCTAAGCACTGAGTCACCGCGCCGATTTAGCACAGATTATTCTTTTTTAATTCAATTTTAAAAAAACAAACAAAACAAAAAAATCTTACTGACCTCCTCTGAAACATTACAACACTGTCTGCTTTTAGATCTTCAAACGTCAGCTTGCGTCCTTTATCAATGACTTCTGGGTGTTTACGGACCAGTAGCCAGCCGATGTGAGCAAAGAAGAATCCTCTGCGAGCGTTGTGGGGGTCTGCATCCGTCTCAGAAAACTTGTGATGGACGCGGTGATCTCTGGCCCACTCATAGATATCATTCTAAATAGGAATAAACATTAATGTAGCAGTTACAAATGTAATTAATCTCACTATGATCAGTTAAACGTTATAACTCATTAGAATTTTCAGCTATAAATAAAACCCTTTGGTGCATAGTATTTTCATGGACAATGAAATGCTTGCAATGTGGCATCATGCTGCATCTTTCCCAAAAGATTCTGCGTAAAATACATTCAAATAGGAACACAAAAGGTGATTTGCTTTTGTTTACTGCAATTTGCAACCATGCAAAACTAAAAGTTGCATTCCTTTAATTGTGGACTGGTTGCAAGAGGTTGCACCATGACACTTTAACCTTCATAATCCTGACAGTAATTCGCAGGTCAGACACAATTTGAAAAAGGTACTAAAGATGTCACTGGGGTGGTACCTTTTCAAAAGCACAAAAATCACCAAACAGATTAAATATTCTGCATGTATATCAGGTGCAAACATGTACTTTTAAAAAAAGTAGCACCACGGTGAAAACCTTTGTGCTGTTCTTTCTCACAGTAGTTTACCAAACTTGAAATGTGAGCAGAGCAAAACACAAAGCAACTTCATGTGAGCTTGTGTTTCCAGTTGGCCACAAATGAATGAAACTTTTACAGCCTCTTACAGTACACTTATTACAGGAACAATCCCAGGTGGGCATACCAAGGTTAATTGCTTTGCTAAAAAGCACAATGGCGATCGCTTGGTTCTTGTGGGCTGTGAACCTATTAGCCCAGATCTTAAACCACAACACCAAACTACATCCACCTGAGCCGCATTCACATTTACTGCATTATTTAAAGGGACAGTTCAACCACAAATTTAATTGCATTCATCCTGATATTTTTACAAACTGTATGAAATTCTTGAACATAAAAGAAGATATTTGAAGAATGTTAAGCATTCTTGCTTAACATTCACATTGCTTTTGTGATTGTGTGCACTATACTGACACTGAGGAGAAGAAACTGTTAAATAAAGTCATTATTTTTGGTCATATTTAATCTAATCTGTCATATTTAATCTAAAATATCTTTAAAAACTCAGATCTACTTCTTCACACGCAAGCGCAGGTTGCCAGACTGATGAAATCAACAGAAGTGTGCCTGACTATCAAACCTTAAGGCTGATTTAAATTGTGGTCTAAATGAAATCAACGGCAGAAGGAACATTAAAATGAGTTTTTGTTCTAATCAACACCTGGAATTTATATTTTAGAAACAGCTTTTATTTCTTGCAGATGATCAAAAGAAAACTGACAATGATCTCCTCATGTACACCTTATGTGCGTTATTCAGTGTTAAATGCTAATAATGTTAGTTTAAATGCCAGTTTACAGGACATCTATTGCCATACTACTGAAAGCAGCAGCAGATATTTCACCACAGATCTTGAAAACCAACACATAATGATTCTGCACTTACATTAAATAATGTTAAAGAGGTTTAATATGTTTTAATTAGATTGTAAACCTTACCATTTTTGTTGGAGTGCAGTAAGTGCACTATTCTATGCTTCTGTATGGCTGTATTTAAATTTCTGTCCTGTTTTGTCCAGTGCAAACAGCCAAATTGCTCATCACTGCAAATCTCGTCATGTAGCATGTTATTATGACACGAGGTTACAATTTAACCTGCTCACCTAATGTTTACGTTGATAATACTTATATTATTTGTTAACTAACTACCTCTTGTGGAACTTTGAATCTGCGTCTCATTTCGGAGTCTGCTATTGTCTACCGGAGATCGCATTTCGGTCAGGGACGCACACTTTTAGAGCCTTTCTGACTAAATGAATGAAATATGCTGTTTTCAACATGGCAACCCGGGGTGCTGAAATATAATTGGTTAAACTAGCATTGGATGGGTTAAAAGAACCAAAACAAGGACAGAGTTCCGGCATCTAACCCACATTTTCAAAGCAGAATATCTGACTTTAGCATTGTTTTTCAGATAAACAGAAATGTTCATTTATCATGTTTCTTAAATATCTGCCAATATATTATTGTATTTTTATGCTTTAGAACAGTCAAAAAACCTACATACAGCACCTTAATAACTATGATAACCTTAAATAAAAATAACATGGTTTCACAGTATTGTGATTGCTACTCAAAAAAAAGTTCTTTTTAAATTTCGGGGTAAAAAATGTATTCGATTTTCAAATGTTTGCTAAAGCATAGGCTGACCAGTAGCTTTTGATGTGGATGGTCCTTTGCTGCTTAACACACTGTAATAAATAAATAAATAAATAAATAAACAAATAGATAGATAAAATAGTCTCTGACATCATGTAAAACGAAAAGTTTTAGTGGTTTTAAATCTGTGACTTTTCCAAACTGCGGTAAACCTTGAGACTGTTTACTGTCCCATGGCTACAGCTGACACAGTAGCAAGTGACTCAAAATAAGATGTTTTTTAAAGTTCAACCAATAAAAGGTCAGTAATGATGGCAGTATCTTAATTTGGGGTGAACAATCTCTGTACTGTTGTACACCACTTCATCACATGTTTTACCTGAAAAGCCATAGAGTTTGCGACTGCTAGGAAGATCCGTAATGGCAGTGAGGCCCTGTAGGACCGGTGGCTCCAGAGGCGATGGGCGCCGGCAGTTATTCCTAGAGCACTTACCATGAAACACACTCCCGCTGTCACATTAAGAGAGAAAACAGAACAGAATATTTAGAAACAAATGAGTCTGGACTGCAACACAGCTTGTATAGTGTGTAACGGTGTGTGTTGCCCTTGAGAGGACAAAATGTCTCGCTGTGTGTTGTCAGACAAGGCTGCGAGGGATGTGGGATACCAGGCCACAGACTGTGAAAAAGGGCACACTGTTATGACCCTGCTCAATTTACAATGGAGCGCCTATTTCGACAGCAATCGTTCTTTGTTTGAAAGAGTGCAATATTATGCGGAGTCGTGATGCCTAAAATGTACACAACAGTGGAGCACAGTTGTGGCTTTTGGTCAGATTTCAAGTTATTCACGGGACTGTCTTGCTAGCTCACTCACACAGATGCAAGCTGCACAAATTTAGCTGAGACAAAGTGGCCTGACATACTTTTACATCAGGAAAAACAATGACACATCAGTTGATGATATCAGAGAATAGTAATCACAGATTTGGCTCTGTAAGACCTGAACACACGTGAGGAAATACCTGCACAGAAAGAAAGGGAGGGAAACCTGGGAGTGTTGTCCATGGTGGCCTTAACATTTTTTTTCAACTGAATCAAAATTAACCTTATGAGTAGGCCCATACGGAATCTGTGCATGCAGAAATCTGCAGATTTTTAGCCCATCATTCTCTTGTTATACTTGTGTAAATGTGTGTAAATGTATATTTATGCAGTTTTTAAATTAATTTCACTAATATTATTGTGACACTATTGTGATTTATTTACAATTCAGTTTGTAAAGTCATATTTTCTGTTTTTTAGTAGATATATTATTTGAGAGACTTGATTTGTTTACCAAACAAGCGGATCTAATTGGATTTGCATTATAAACATTAAAGAAAAGTAAAACATTTTTTTTTTCATATATTATGTTTTTATGATACTGCCAAAATCATTCCACATAAATTTGCAGATTTTTTTCAGCAGAAAAAGCAAAAAATGGCCGCAGATTCTGTCTGGTCTTACTTATTGAACTTATATCATGTTAAATTGACTTAAAACAGCTTGTGTAACTTAAAAAAATTAAGTTAGAACATGATTAACTTTGTTGAATAAGTTACTATGAACTAAAATCATGCTGTCATGACTAAATTCCTCATATAATCTTTTTAAAGTTTAATAAAAAGGATGAAAAATCTCTGTTTCTCTAAATGTGCAAGATTTAAATGATGAGTTTTATTCAACAATCGAATAACATTTAGATCTTGATCAATCTAATACATCTTTTTTCCCCCCCAATATTATGTAAACTGTCATTTAGAGCTATTTTTAAAGAAAATTACAACTAGTCAAAATAAATATCAAAATATTAATTTAGTGTGACTGAAAGTTAGGATTATTCTGATTTATTGAATACATATCTCTTCTGAAGTTAAAACTTACTGTGTTGTCTTTAAATGAATATAAACATGGCATATTATTTCTTATTTTGACAAATTGATTGATTTGATGGTTTTGGATAATAGGAACCATTTTTTATTATTTTTTGTCTCTTTTCTTTTAATCAAACAATTATTTGTATTGGTCATGTAAGGGTCATATATTAACTGAATTTCTAATGTTGTGGGTGAGTGCTGTGCATACTAATTAGCATTTTTGCAGAAGTAGATAGATGCGGGTCCAAAATTAAATTCAGCTCTGCAGAAACTTCCTGTCTGAAGAGAGGTGTTAAAACTGAACACAGAACACAGAAAGATGTATACTTTGTTGTTGGGCAGAGAATTCATAGAAAAAGAGGAAGTATGCCGAAGGGGCGGCCAATGGAGGACTGAACAATGACTGACAAGTGACGTTACACCAAAACTCCACCTGTTAAGATCGGTGGTGTATATATGCTGAAGTCAGGAAATGTATGTTAGTTGCGAACCTCTTGAATGTAATTCTTGTATTGCATTGGGGTAACGTAACCCAGAGCTCTGTCATCGAATTATTCATTTGTATCTAATAAATTGTTACGATTTTTGGCATTGAAGAAAAACCTCTCCTGACCTTTTCTCTTGAACACGCATGGAATAGGCTAGATATTCCAACAATGGTCTGAATGACATTTTTACTGCTAAGTTAGAAGACAAAAACACATAATTATAAATTATCAATCCAGTGTGACTGATCATTTTCGAATGGTTTTCCATACACTGTAAAAAATTCTGGGTTGCACACATTGGATTTGTGTTGACATGAAGGAATTCAGTCAACTTATCAGTTTTTACAAATGTAAGTGCATTGAACTTATAACGATTAGGTTGTCCCAAAAAGAGCTAATGGATTTGTGTTATTTCAGCTCATTTTTAAAAGTAGTATAAACCATTATACATAATTTTTGAGTGCAGCTGTATATATATGAAATATATAGAAAATAATAAACGTTTGAGTTACTCTAGATTTCATATCAGATGTAAACTGATAATTAAAGTGAATTTGTATTGATTTAACTTTTACTGGACATTTGATAACTTTTACTAAACACAACTGTGAAAGCAACCATTTAACTATTTTCCCCCTTAATTTATAATGATTTAATATATATAGATAATAATATCTACATTTATATTACATTTGAATTAGTTTTCAAATATATATATATATATACCAATTGCTTTAAGAATAGTATTGGTTTATAAACTGATTACTTTAATAAAAGACAAAACAGAACATCTAAGTGTGTCGTAGCAACTCACCCTGTTAGGATGTAGGTCATAGTAGCAAGAGCAGCACAGCTTGCATCAATTTAAACAATTAATGTGTAAAGAATAGATTTTTGACAAGAATATGAATAGTGTTTGTTACAAACATTGCAAAACTGACAATAATTTATCATTAGATCCGAAAAATAAAAACGCAATAATCACAGGAACAGTGTGTGCTATTAGAACCAGTCTCAAATATCATGAATCTATTCACAGAATATACAATAACACTTACTCCATATGAGGGTTAAGGAAGAGACAAAAGGAAGAATCGTCATTCCATAAAGCGCTCCTAGGTGCAATAGAGTCATTAATATGACATTTCTCCATACGATTTGTACCGGAGGACTCGGGCCCGGTTTCTCCACATAAGAATCATCAAAAACATCCTCTGTCGTCGTCGTCACATCGGCCATTGCTTCTGTGCTCGTGTACTGCCTCCTGCAAAGAAAACGAGTAGATTATATTTTCACGACCGCCGGCGAAGAAGAACCATCTGTCATTTCGGTTATTATTGATTTAGCAGACAAAGCATCAAACCGCGGACTCGATCAATTCTGCACAAAATGGGTGTGACAATAAACGCAGGCGCTGGAATAAAGGTGCATCTGTCTGCTGCATCCCGCTTACCTTGCTTGCGATGCAACCATAAAGAATGATCGCAGTATGATTAAAGCGAGAATACAGAAGCTCCCGTCGACTGGTTTAATTTTTTGCGTGCCTAAGCCTCTGATTTCGTTTAAAATGATGCAGTTGGGCGAGGCTGCAAGGATGCTATCTAGCCCTACCAGTTTCATTGGTTGCCTGGCTATCTGATGCTCTTGTGGACGCCATCCACGTTTTCATAACCAAACACATCAGCTGTTTACTCTCCCTGTGCGATACAGATCAGCTTCAAATTTCAACAAGGCTTTGAGAATTTTAATGGCCGTGAGTAAATTGGAAAACACAGGTCTTCTAGCACAAATAGGTATATTTTCTAGAATGTTTTGCCAAGCAATGTCACAAAATATATAAAGTAGGCTATGTCTTGATTTAGAATGCCTAACATGAATACAAATAAACATAAAAATATGACACTTTTGGAAAATTTGTATGACATTAAAGATTAAGGTAGCTAATGCATGATTTTTAAATCAAATTCATATTATAGGAATAAATTACATTTTTTAAACATGTTCCAATAAAAAGCCAAAATAAATTCTTACAATAACTGCCGTTTTGTTGATACAATAGTTTTTAATCCAAGAAATTCAGCTTCGGAGAGCAAACAAATTTATATATAGATTATATATTTTATATACTTTATAGTTATACATTAAACATTCTACAGAAATAGTCAGTGACAGCAGCAGTTAATAAAATAATAATAATAATAATAAGTAACACTACTAGTAAATAAAAACAAATTACAAAAAGACACATACATCATTTTTAAATTTCAAAGGATACAGCTGGAAATACTAGCTCATCTGCCATAGTCAGCTGCGCATCTTTGTTAAAAAATATCCAATTTCACTTGAAGTTGAGCAGTCATTCATTTCATTCTATATATTGATTTAATTTTTTTTATCCACTGTGCTATTGTTGGAGGGTGTGGCTTTTTTTACACTTAGTAAAAGTATATGTAGTAAATGGTTTTTATTATATACATCCTGGGGTAGGATATAAGCAGGAAAAACAGGGGAGTAAAAGGTAGATCTAACTGCATAATATTTATTATCTCAATCTTTACTGCTTGACAAAATGCCAGTAACTTTGGACATTCACAAAATACACAGTTAAAGTCGGAATTATTAGCCCCCCTTTAACCTTTTTTTTTTTTTTTTTTTTTTTTTTTTAATATTTCTTAAATGAAGTTTAACAGAGCAGGGAAATTTTTACAGTATGTCTGATAATATTTTTTCGTCTGGAGAAAGTCTTATTTGTTTGATTTTGGCTAAAATAAAAGCAGTTTTTTTATTTTTTAAAAACTATTTTAAGGTCAAAATTATTAACCCTTTTATATTTTTTGCTTGTCTACATAACAAACTATTATATATAATAACTTGCCTAATTACCCTAACCTGTCTAGTTAACCCAATTAACCTGTTAAGCTTTTAAATGTCACTTTAAGCTGTATAGAAGTGTCTTGAAAAATATCTAGTAAAATATTATGTACTGTCATCATGGCAAAGATAAAGTAAATCAGTTATCAGAAATGTGTTAAAAAAATCTTAGTTAAACAGAAATTGGGGGAAAAAATAAACATGGGGGCTAATAATTCTGACTTCAACTGTATGTGTGTAATTATTTACATTCCCGCAATCCGTCCAGCATTCCTGTGATGGTGGACTGTTAACATATTTTTACACCATCAATGGTGTTCTAAAAAACCTAATATTTGTTTTCCAGTCAAACTCTTTCCAGTTATGGCTATTGTTTCCTTTATGAGATTCTAATCTATATGTTTTCCCAAATCTCATCGTCAATTTTTTCGTCAAGTTCAGATTCCCACATTGCCTTGACATTAAGAGTGTTATTATCTGTTGAATCCTTAATTAGTCTGTTATATATGCATGCGACATGTCTTTTATGTAGTCCTTTTTGTTTATTTATATCAATTAAATACTGTTCCAAATTAGATGGGACTTTTTTGACTCTCCTTTATGATTTGTAGAGCAAACAAATGTTAATGTTTTCAAACATTTGACTTTATCTTCCTTTATATGCTATAAAGGAATTACCAACGTCACACGGATTCAACCGCGCATGCCGGTTGCAAAAAAAGACGAGTTGCAATAGCAAACATGTCGTGTTGTGCGGTAGGAGGAGGAGTCCAAAAATAGATAACTTAAATTGCACATGACCACACAGAACAAAATCGTTGCCATGCAAAGACTTGTCTGCCTTTAACTTCCCTTTTGTAAAATTACTTAGTTTCAATGTGAGATGTATATTTCGGGGTGGATTCTTGGCCATTTCCTCTTATCCAATATCCAATGGGAGGGTGCTATCGCAAATGGTCCTGTCAGACGAACGCTGCTTACTTTAACGTTAATTTTGCAGAAGAACATTGGTTATCACTGGGTGACAAGCTGTTATAATACACTGAAAGCATTATGCAAATAATATATATAATATGTAATCAATAATTTATCTCTAATACAACAAACTCTGCACTGCAATTGAAGTCATTCACTCACTATAAATGCTAGCGCTCTCGTTTTTTTCTGCAACTTTGCTGTGTGCGCATCCTGAAAGTTTACAAACCGGTAAATCATCATCTCTAACTTTCAGCATATTTCTATTTCACATGTGTAATGAGACCTGTAAGTGTTATGAAATATTTGTGTAAATTAGATTTTTTTTGGTTTAAAAAAGTGAATATTTTGTTACTACTGTCAGAAATAAAGGGACAAGAGCTGCTGAAAAGGTTAACATATGTACATAAAGAGCCCATATCAGTACCTAAAAGTTACATATACTTAAAATGCACCTCATTACATTTTTCTACTAATTTGTAACCAGTATGCACCCTTTATTTGCACCTTCTGAAATAGTCCCACCCAGTGACAGCTTTTTATTTAGTTCAGTCCTCCTGATAAATACAACCCATTTTCCAACATGCAGTTCATCTACCGAAGTCCTTAAATTGTGTTTAAACAGTTAAAAAAAACAATGGGTTGTAAGCTTAAAATAGCAACAGCATTTACTTAAACAGATTGATATAACTGCTTTTGGGAATGAGGCTATAATTTCCCATGGCCAGATTCTCATCTCTGTGCTGCTGAGCACATTACAGTAATTAAATGGGATTTTATTTTGCACTCATGTCTAACAACAGCACTATTAGACAATTAGTCATGTGACTGTGGTCAAAGAGTCAACCATTTCCTCATGTCTGCCCAATTTGTGCACTTACTACACCTTTTGTTGTCTAGGTCTGCAGGTGATTCATTATAATCATGCTTCACTCAACCCATCATCAGCACTTCTGTCGCATGTAGCTGTGCTGAAGCCCAGTATACACAAATAGAGAAAGAGCATTCAAATTCTTTTACTATATTAACATGCTCTTCACTGTCACACATTTTCAAAACTTTGTCTAATTTCACAAGGATCATACATACCTTCTCACCTCAAAAATCCTGTTAGAAAATTTCAAAAGCCAAGCTTTCTTTCAGATTTAGATAGATGTAGCACTGCTCAAGATGGAGGGTTGACATAACAGCACCCCCTAGTGAACATGTAGGGGATCTGCTAAGGTTAACGTAAGATGTAGCCTGTAGAGTGCAGTTATATGCCTCTGTTGGAACTGAATGAGCTTTTTGACCCTTAATTATTATATGATATAGTTAAAATATATGTCAATATAAAACAAAATAAAATGTGTCAAAATATATTACAGACAACGAGTGTAATATCACACTACTGATGATTTTGCTTTAAAGAGCACAAGAGAAAATATATTTTAACAGTTCAATGAACGTTTATAGATTACTAACAGCTCAATAAATTAGTTAATATTGTTGTAAATTTCAAATAGTATAGGACACTTTTAACTTTGTCTTGTCAACATAAAAATACTTACAAAGAATGATGCGATTCCTTTTAAATAATTGCACATTTCACATGAATTGAGTAAGCAAACGATCTGCTTGTTAAGTCGAGACGTATGAATACTCTTTCCGGGTCCAAGCCATTGTTTTAAACCTTCTTTTTTTCAAAAGTATACATTTCTCTGTCTTTCAAAGCAGAAATATATTTTAAAGAATAATAGTAACCAAACTGTTGGTTATAATTTACTTCCTTTGTAAGGAAATATATTATATAAAGATATTTTTCAAATGATCTTGTTTTAATGACTGTTTTATTTTATGATATTATATAGTGCATCCAGAAAGTTTTCCTGTTTTTTTTTTTTTGTTACAGTCTTATTCCAAAATTGATTAAATGTATGTATTTCCTCAAACACAATACCCTATAATGACAATGTGAAAAAAAAAGATTTTTTTGAAATTGTTACAAATTTATTACAAATAATTAACCTGAAAAATCACATTTGCATAATAATTCCTATAGCCTTTGCTTAGTACTTTGTTGATGCACCTTTAGCAACAATGCCACAAGCTTGGCACACCTGTCTTTGCGAACTTTTGTCCATTCCTCTTTGCAGTACCTCTCAAGCTCTATCAGGTTGGATGGAAAGCGACAGTGTACAGCCATTTTCAGATCTCTCCAGAGATGTTCAATAGGATTTAGGTCTGGGCTCTTCCAAACATCTTTCACTAATGGATAATGAAGGCCACTGTGCTCTTTGGAACTTTCAGAGCAGCAGAAATTTTTCTGTAACCTTCCCCAGCCTTGTGCCTTGAGACAATTCCTTTGTCCTAATGCTTGGTTTGTGCTTTGACATGCACTATCAACCCTGGGACCTTATATAGACAGGTGTATGCCATTTCAAATAATCTCCAATCAACTGAATTTATCAAAGGTGACTTCAATTAAGCTGCTGAAACATCTCAGGAATGATCAGTGGAAACAGAATGTACCTGAGCTCAATTTAGAGCCTTACACAAATGCTTTGAATACTCTGTACATGTGATGTTTTAAATTATTTATTTTTAATAAATTTGCAACAATTTCAAAAACATTTCTTTTCACATTGTCATTATGGAGTATTGTGTGTAGAATTTTGAAGTAATAGATGAATTTAGTTCATTTTGGAATAATGCTGCAACATAAAAAAATGTGAAAAAAGTGAAGCGCTATGAATACTTTCCAGATGCATTGTAAGTCGATATGTAATATTTTTACATTGAACTAAAATAAATATTTATTTTATTTTATTTGAATTTTCTTTAATATATTTATTGCCATGTTCAAGTTAGTTTTGTTTCATAATGATATAGTTTGTATTGATACTAAAATAATTGATAACCGTTTATGCTGCAGTTTAACTTTCATTTTGGTTTTATGATTTTTTTTGTTTTGTTTACATCATTATTATCATTTCAATCATTTTTATTCCTATTTTACTAAATCAACTTGAACTAAAGTAAATACCTTGGAAACTAGCTGAAATTAAACAAGTTTAAATACTTATATTGTATAAAGTTTATAATTTCGATTGCAGTTATTGCATAAATGCAGTTTTAGGTGTAGCTGCAAATAAACATGTGAGACTATATCATTAAGTGCAGTGACAATTTAGCATTGACATTTAATGACATAAATATGTACACAAACACTTTTACAAAAACACTATCCATTTATCGCTCAAACACAAGCACCAGTTCACAGTGAGGAGTGTGTGGAAACAGGTCTACAGGCACAGCCACGACTGGTTTGAAGGCTTCTCCAGTGATTCTTCTAACCAAACCTACACTACAGCAGAGCTCTCTAAAGTTCCTCATCGCCTCCCCGTCTGGTTTACATGAAATATAAACAAGCCTTCTTATGGCTGAGTGGTTCCTCAAAGCTCGGACCACCCGATAATGCAAACCAGCCCTGGAGGGATTGACAACGGCTGTCAGGCCTCCATCAGAACTCAAACTTCCCATCAGATCTGGCAAAACAACTTCCGCTTTGCCTGCAAGAAATTCACAATTACAAACTCTGTTTAGTGCTGCATTAAACTTGGCATCCTCCACTGCTTGCTCAATGAGCTCTATCCCAATGACTCTCTCCATCTGTGGTGATAACGAAATTCCGATGGCTCCAGTGCCACAACAGACATCCAGCAGGGTGCCACCAACACAAGGCTGACTGAGCTCTGCCACAGTCTTATACAAAGCCTCCGCTGCTTCCCGATTCACCTGGAAGAAAGAATCAGGAGAAATACGAAACTTAAATCCGAGCACCTCCTCATATATATGAGTCTGTCCATATAGAAGCTGATACTGGGATTGTTCATGACTGCAACGGGTCATTGTGGTCTCCTGAAAGTAAAGGGAGTCCAGCTGGCAAATTGCTCCGGGACCTTGTGTAAAATACTCCACCAGAGCAGCTTTATGGATGTCTGTCTCCTCAGGCGTCAGAGATTGAGGATGAAAGTACACTATAGCCATGGTGTGGCCGGTGGAGTTGGTTCTTATTGTGATTTCTCTCCAGTGACCGCCGTCGTCAAATAAGATGCACGGCCTGAGCGGTGAGAGGCGTATAAAATCTTCATAGCACCTTGCAACCATTTTGTGTTTTGAAGGGATGCTCAGGAGATGATCAGCATGGACGCATACAATGTTACCCGCTTTTCCTGTGCCAATGTAGAATCCGAGAGTTTTCGGATTCCCATCGATTCCTTTGTTGACAGAGAAGGTGGATTTGTTGCGGTATCCATCTCTCACCGGTGAAGCTACAATGGGAAGCAAAGGGAAGTTTAAGTGGTCTGAAAAAGCACGTGTTGGATCCTGAGACAGTTCCTTCATCATCTTAAGTAGGATCTTCTTCTGATGCTCGTATTTCCATTGAAGCTGATCCTCATAAGTCATTCTCCACAGAGGAGTCACAGTGTCTGACAGTCTTTCTTCCCAAGAGAGTTTGGTAGTTGGAAGTTTTGGTTTCTTTGCGTTGCTTGTTTTCACCGGTTTGCAGCTGTTATTGATAGCACGTTGATTTGTTATTAAATAACTAAAGAGTGTTTGGGGTATATTAATGACTTGTTTCGGCAATGGGCAGGTTAAATGTAAACGCATTGCTTTAAATGCAGACGACATTGGTGGAATCTTAAGTGTACTTCTTCACTCTATCAAGTGACAAAAACGCTGCAGTCAAATTATGTTTCACGTTGGTGTTTTGGATATAGTCTGTCTCTGAGCATAAATATGTAAACAATTTGTTTAAACAAATATTGTTCTCTCTACCTTTTTCCGTGTGCACAAAACAACTTAAAAACATTTCCATGAAACGGCGCGCGACATCAAAGACTGCAGTGGCGTTACTTTGTACTAGCGCGCCCACTCTGTTTCATGACTTCAACTTCCGTAGATTTACGGAAATAGAATATTTTTATTAATTGCATATTTACTTGTTTTTATTACAGTTAAAATGTTATTGTAAGAGTTAACTATAATTTTGTTCAATAACAGGCTCCCATTGGTCCCCAATTCCATGATTGTAAATAATAATAATAATAATGAAATTCATCATCATAATAATTATCATCAATATTATTATTAACATTGCTGTTTTTGTTATTATAAGCTAGTAAATTAAATAATTAAATTCTAATATATATATATATATATATATATATATATATATATATATATATATATATATATATATATATATATATATTTAGATTTGTTGTCTGTTGAAAATATTTGATAGACACACACATGGAAAATTATTTTTAAAAATTGGTAAGAAAACGAAAAATTAATCTAATTGCAAAACAAATTACTTCATATATCAGTTAAACACGAATTATTATTTTACATTTTTAATTGTATTCACTTAAATGTACTTACTCAATTCAAATACCATTATTTGCGCGTTTAAAACCAACAGAGCTAAAGGGTGGACGGACTATTCACTAGTAAAAAACTCTTGACGTTGCTAAAACGTCATCAAGCTGCGCCTTTGCGTCAGGAAAGCGATCAGTCATCAGTTCCGCCGTCAAAATGGACTCAAATAAGGACGAAGCGGACCGCTGCATCGAAATAGCGATCGCAGCGCTGCGGGATAATGAACAGGACAAAGCCAGACGGTTTCTCGAAAAGGCACAGAGGCTGTTTCCCACCGACAAGGCGAGATGTGCGTGTAATATAAATATGTGTAAAACAGAGATCGTAAGAGGTTTGTTAAAGGGCCACTAGAGAACCTCAAGTCTGTAGTTAGACGCTAATGAAGGCCCTGACATCTCGAGCTCTTATTATGACTACGGAAAACAGAAGTTTATACTTTTATTTGATCGAACTGTTCGTTATCGAACTGTTTAACTTCCGTTTTTATCACTTCTGTTCAATATCTGTTTGAGTGTTAGTATTTACATATGTGAATACAAAACAAAATCGAAATTACGTAATAAAGTAATTAAAATGTTTAAATTAACTAATTAAAATACGTTCTTTTAAATATAACGTTAGATATATACTGTAGAGTGGGATGACAGTCTGAACAGATGGCTAAACGATTAGCAAACATTGATTGTTATTAAAAATGCAAGTGCTCTTCTCTCAGCTTTATTAGAGTCTATTATCATGAACGGAGGACCTTCCACAAGTGAAGAAAACAATGGAGAACCTCATGGTTTACGAAATAGAAACCACAAAACGGAAGACCAGTCCTCTGGTCATAGTGCCACAGAATCAGCCAAACCTTACACATCAGAGCAGCTGGATGCTGTCAAAAGGTCAGTTTTTTTTTAGTATTGTTTATACATGCATGTAGTGGTTTATTTGCCTTTTTTTGTTCATTAAACTGTGATCCGTGTTTCCAATGATGCAGAATAAAGAGATGTAAGGACTATTATGAGACTCTTGGAGTCAGTAAAGAAGCCTCTGAGGAGGATTTGAAAAAAGCTTACCGAAAATTGGCTCTGAAGTTTCATCCAGATAAAAACCATGCACCTGGTGCCACTGAAGCATTTAAAGGTAACGTACCTGCCATAATGCCCTCATATACTGAAAGAGAAATCGAAAAACAAACTGTTGTGACTCAAATTATGACAAACTTGGGTTAAAATGAAGTTCAAAACTGCTTGCCAAATTGAAGTTTGCTTCGGGTGGTGAACACCATCAAACTAACGATTGGTCAAGGTGACTAAGTTATAGAGTTGAGGTAAAGTAGGTTTTATATTCGCACATTCATGCGTTATTACATTTTAAGCAGATGCACTCCACTACAAAGTCGTCTTAATCAATCCACAACAATGGTCTCAAACTCAATTCCTGGAGGGCCACGGCTCTACAGTTTAGCTTCAACTACCTCCAACTCGCACCTACTTAATAGTCTCTAGTAGTCTTAAACACCTGATTAGTTGGATCAGGTGTGTTTAATTAAGGTCAGAGCAAAACTGCACAAAGCTGCGGCCCTCCAGGAATCGAGTTGGACACCTATGATCTAAAATGATGAATTCGTTCCAAATAGAGCTATTCATTTCTTCTCTTAAAACATGATACTCAATGTTGCAATATAGATCGCAGTAAAATAAAACATGCCATTTATTATAATGTATTGAACCACACTGTATGCAAAAATCATAAAACTTGAGCAACATCAACCAAGCAAATCACATGCAACAATAAAAGAGATTTGTCAGTTTTTAACAGGCCAAAATGTTGTTTATTGTGAAAGGCCAGTGTATCTTCTGTTTGTGTAATGCTACAATTAAGTTTAAAGCAAAGTGATGCACTCATGTTCAGTTCATGTCCACTCCACATTCAAGATCATACAGCAGATGTATGTGCTTTCTTGCTCTATTTTCCTCATGTTACCATAAAGTAATTCTGCAATATGGGCACTATTTTACCTTTTTTTTTTTTTTTTCGTTGTCGACATCTCCAATCGAACTACAGACTTTCCATTGATGTCTGTGGTGAAAGGAAGCATTCTCAATCCACTCAACAGGCTTCACTTATCTGCTCTCTCACAGCTATACAGGCATGAATATTAAATTATTGTGTAACGTTCTATCAATTGTATACATCTATAGACAACCATTGTTATATCAATTTATTCTGTTTTATGTGTTTTGCTGTGAACATGCTGTGTGGTATCAGTTTTTGGTATTCAGTATTAGGCATTTTGGTATCAGGGCCAGGACCAAGCTTAGCATCACTGATTTTGGACTTCTTTTTTCCCTAAATGAAAAATCAAAAAGAACTTTGCTCTAAGCATATTGTAAAAGGCACAGTTCACCCAAAAGTGATGATATACTCACCATTTACTTGCACTAAAGTCGTTTTAAACCTGTATGAGTTTAGTTTTCTGAGTTTTGAACACAAAAGAGGATATTTTAAATAATATTGGAAGTAGGGCTTGACGATTGATCGATTTTGATGTGCTTCTTGTCCGTAAATCTGGTTCCAGTAAGACTCCACATGTGTTTTCAGATGTAGCAACTAGGGTTGTGATGGTGGCAAAATTTTCCCACCAGTTAACTGACATGGGGTAACACTGATAGTTGGTATCACTGGAGACAGGGGTCTGTTATAAAGCTCACAAGTTCTGTCCACTGTTTGATTACTTTCACTTTTGAATTAGTGCCAATTGGGTGTCAATCGGTTGTATCAAAACACCAAAATAATACAATAAACTTCTATTATGACTTTTTGATAAGAGCAATTGACAGAATCAGTGTTGCAGGTTAATACTAGACTATTGCATCAACCTAGTAGCGTCATTTACTCCAGAGTCGTTGTTCACTGACAAGATACACAAAATCACATTCATAATTTTCTACAGAAATAATGAAATCAAGGTAATTGTTTTGTGGCGATGACAGCTGACACCTACGAATCTGTGTTGTAAATTCAGCTACATCTGAAAAGCATGTGAAAATACTACATTTGATAACATGTTTTTACTCTCAAGTCCTTTCATAAATTTAGTTGAGGGTTTGAATTATATCCCTTTTTGAGATGATTTCGTCGTCATGTGTTTATTAGTCACGTTGAATCAATAAAACTAGTTAAATCTTGTTTTTTCAGCAATCCCTATGGGGATTTCCTGAGTTTTTCTTTGTGATTATCGTTTCTGACTAGTTTTCTACTGATCACACAACCGTGCTTTCCTGACTAGATGTGCATGACAATCACAGCTTCACATTTGCAATTTTATTTCAATTAAGCCATTGACATTCTTGTATTGAAAAAACATAGAATGGAAGTCAATGGCTGCTGTTTCCATTCCTGTTTCTTCAGAATATCATCTTTTTAACCTTAGAATGAATCCCATTATTGTTTAGAACATATGAAAGATAAGTTAATGATGATAAAATGTAAAATTTTGGGTGAACTGTCTCTTTAAACTCATTGTTTCAGTTTGTCAGCAGTCATTACACGTAATTTTGCATGTCATCTACTCATTTGTTTTGTTTTTTTGGACTTCCAACAGCTATAGGTAATGCGTACGCAGTTCTTAGTAACCCTGAAAAAAGAAGGCAGTATGATGTCTACGGTGAAGAAAAAGCTCACCCTACTCACAGGCACAGGACCTATCATAGAAATTTCGAGGCAGATATTTCCCCTGAGGATCTGTTCAACATGTTCTTCGGAGGTGGATTTCCAACCAGTAAGTCTTGTGACCTTTTCAAAATGTGGCTTTTGAAGTGCAGTGTGTTAGTGGTTGTGGTCTAATACATTCAGGACCGTTTAATGTGTCATTGTGCCATTTTTGCCTGCGTTTCTAGGTAATGTTCACGTGTATAGCAATGGCAGGATGAGGTTTGGCCATCAACAGCGACACGAACGACAAGAACAACAGAGAGAGGTAAGAGCTCGATTGTCCTGCATGTTTTGGGAGGGGTTTGGACTTATAAGCTTATAACAGTGTGCATTTACTTTAAGATTTTAGCAAATTTATATACATTTAGCATTTAGAAAGTACCGAATGAAGAGATTGATCACCCAAATAGTCTGTACGCACCCTTTACTAGTCCAGACCTTTTTGAGTTTCTTTCTTCTATTGAACACAAGTTATTTTGAATCATACTGGAAGCTGGTACCCATTGACTTCCATGTTATTTTTTTCCCATACTATGGAAGTAAATGGATGCCAGGAGCAAGCATTCTTCAAACTATCTTTTGTATTTGACAAAGTTGAATGTTTTAAACCCGAGGGTAAATAATGAGGTAGTTTTCATTTTTAGTTGAACGATCTCTTGAAGCCAAATAAAATGATTTGATAATTGTGCTGCATTGCACACAATTTGCCTGTAGACTTTTTTTTTTGTAATGAGTAGCAAAGATTTC